GTGTTAAATTGCAAGTGTTTCAATTTCACAAAGGTATTTTGTTGCAAATACATTAAATTACGGAATTATCTCAAATTGTAGAACGTTAATATTTTTGCTAGAGGAAAAGACGTAGGAAATATAGATATAAATATTTAATAAATCAACCAAATAGTGGGGATAAGCAAACCTTCATTTCTTTTATTTTCTTTATACGCACTCTGATGCTAGCAGAGAGATGATCAGTGTCGTGGATAAATATTTTAGTCTTAATAGAATTCTTTTGCTGATAGTTGGTTTATGGCCTTACCAAAAATCGAAACTTGCCCGACTACACTCATTTTGTTGCATTAGTATTATTGTAACGTTTATTATATTTCAGGTATGTTGATATTCTGATTGTATTATTCTATTTAATATACAGATTTTCTCGATATTTTTTTTTTATTAATTTGGAGATGTTTCTTTAATAAAAACATAGATTGAGAGTGACAAATAATTGAGTATCTAAAATTCCTTTAAATTAAGCTACAAAGATGTTAACGAGTAATCAAATCTACGTTGTTTTAATAATATTAATAATTTTAAATAGATTGTTAAATATATGAGACACTATCAAATAATTATAAATTATTGTTTTACATTTTACAATATTAAACAAAGTAGAATGGTCAATTATCGGCAGATAGAAAACAGATAGAAAGCAAAGCGAATTGTTTCAAGCGTTTGGCTCCAAAATAAATTAAACATTTTTACATTGTATGATTAGGCAGAATACATAGATTACTTTGATAAGAGATAAAAATATGTATGTTTCTAACTTCTTCAGGAAATTATTGATTACAGTTTACAACATTTCTAACTACTAAATGTACTACAGACCACATTATAAAGATTTTCGCTTTGTCTTCTGGTATCAGTGCCTTTGTAATAAAATACAACTCATTTTGCGTTAACAGTAATACAGTAAGTTAATTATTTATTATATTTGTTTAAATAAACTTTTATAATTCTACAAAATATAATTTTTTTATTTTAAACCATTTACTAATTGCTTCAGCATACAGGCTGCGGAATTGCTTGCCGCTTCCGCAATTTGTGTGCAGGAGCTGTAAAAAATACAAAAATAACATAAGAACTTATTAAACAAACAGATAAAAAATTTAATGGAACAACTTCAGTGTATTTATGATGATATAATGGACAAAAACGAAATTACCATCATAGATAGATATGCGGACATTGCAAAACGTTATACGATTACATTTACAAGTAAGACAATATGTTTTATTTTTTATTTATTTTATATCTAAAATATCCAAAATATATTCAAAAGTTTGAATTTTTTATAACATAAGAAATATTTTAAATTTAGCAAAGCGCCATTTTTTATTTAAATTTATATTAAAAGGTATATCTAATAATGAAAACAGCAAGAATCAATTTTTAAATTTTTAAAATTAAATATTTTATTCTGTAGTTTTTTCTTTTCAATACTTTTCAATTCTTATTATAATAAAATGTATGTAATTTTATCAGATGTCAAATGTCTTATAATACAATACAATATCTAATAATTATGTGTAAAAAGCATTTCATTTTTTTACTACGGTTGTAAATATTAAATTTTTAATTTATACATGTATATTTATTACTTATAACTCAAATAAAAAGCAAACTTTAATAATTGTTAAAAGCATTAAATAAAAAATAATGATGAAAAAGGGACAATCTGCATTTGAAAATATATTTGAATTATGGGAAAAAAATCATATATCAAATACTATGTATACAGTATCTACCCTAATATAAATTTTAAAATTTCAGATTGTTAAAAAACTACAATTTATATAACTAAGTCTTTATAATGTTGTTTCTTTTGTAGTATGTCTCTGTTGCAGTATATCTGTTGTTACTGTCGTCCAATTGTGGCCAGATTTTGACATTATTTTATCCGCAAACAAGTCTCGATCATATCGTCTACAAGTCTCAACTGAGTATTTTATGGATCAAGAAAAATATTATTACCTGTTGCTGCTCCACATAAATTTAGCTTTATATATGGGATTAACCGTATTAGTAGCAACAGGATTGATGCTCCTTGCATTCCTTTACCATGCCTGCGGAATGTTTGAAATTGCTAGGTAAGGTAAAAGCAATAAATATTAAAATAATTAAAAAGTTAAAATTAAAAAAAATTTAATTTTTTATATCTGAAAATTTCAAAATCAAAAGTTTACATTGAAAAATGTAGATTAAGAAATATATAGGGAAGACCGCGGCGAAGTCCCAACCTACCATCACTTTTCGGTTAATCAGTTACTTGTTAGACACTCTATATGTACAGTGGTATACAATGAAATGTCTATATGTATAATTCTTTCAGCTATTAAAAAAAAAAAAAACTTTTAATAATATGAAATCAAGACTCGATGAGAAAAAGATATTTTCGATTTTTCTCCTATTAATAAATTAATTTTTAGCTTTCTCATCGTGTGATATAATGACAAATGTTTCTGACTTGTAGAGAACTACGTTAATACATATACGTATAAGCACGTTTAAAAATTACAACTATTTAATCTCGGAATTATTATTCGCCTAACATTGTCATATAGTAACTTTCTTAAATTCTTAAACAGTCATAATAGCTAAATTATTTACAGTTATCGTATCAAAAATGCAATAGACATTTATATATCAAGTATTAAACTAAAAAACAAGAGTTTAGTTTGCAAAGGCCTCATTTACGGTGTATATATTCATCGGAAAGCAATGATGTTGGTATTTATATTCTTTAATATCTGTATAATACATGCAATATCAAATCACACACATATTTTTTTAAAGGTTTTCCGATTATCTAATATCTAGATTTGAGATATCTTTCATGTTTTTAATAGTGGTCAGTGTAATTAATTTGAGCCTTAATACTTTTCGAGTAAGTCTCGTTTCGCTTGTTACAAATTCACATTTAATGAATTGTGTAACATTCCTGTGTTGTTTTATAATTTGTATTAATAATCTCAATCGCATATTTTTAGTAATATAGTTTTAACAAATTAAAAATTTTAGATTGAAGTTTGTAGAAAAAATTTTTTAATTAAAATTTTTTTATGTTATTTGGTATAGTATTCAGTAGCTATCTTTTGAAACTAAATTTTAAATCCTTGTCCAGGTTTTTTTTAATAATTCACATTTTTTAAATACTAAATGTAAAACATTTTATGACAAAAACATTGCTAATTTAGATTAATTATAAACACTGTAGCCTTGACATAAATATTTTATTTAGATTTTTTATTATATACTACCTATAAAATTTTTTTTAATATTATTTATTAAAACAGCTGATATTAATTTGATTGAAAGAATTTGTCATTACAATATAATACAATAGCAATAAGAAATATCGTATAACTGTAGGTAAACTTGCAATTGATAGATGGATTCGTTTATTTATAAAAATAGTTACAATCTAAATGATAAGTTGTAGTTAAAATTTCTATAGTAATTTTGTAATCGATTGTAAAGAATCTAATTCAAATTGTGATTTAAGAGTTGATTTTAGCACTAAAATTCGTACATTAGCTTTTTCAGATGTTATCATCATCCACATATAATATTGAGGAACTTCTAATAACTCTTATATCAACAGGTATTTGTTTTATATACATGTTCTTAGCCAACTTCATCGGACAAGAAATTACAGATCATTATGATCTCATATTTGCCACTGCGTAAGAAATATCGTAGTTTATTACATTATACAGGATATTGTTTTACAAACTCTGCTATCGAAGTTAATACAATACTATAGTTAAAATAATACATACAGTAAATATACGTATGCTGTGAAAGTTATAAGTATCTTTCTTTCTCAAATTGTTAGATTTTTATATTATTATTATATATGTAGATACAAAGTTCAGTGGTACATAACTCCTCTCTACATACAAAACTTCATATTATTTCTATTGCTAAGAGGCAACAAGTATTTTGGTCTGAATGTTGGTGGATTGTTTGTTGGATCCTTACCATGTTTTGCTTCGGTATAACATAAAATATTTTATATGTCGTAATATATTGAATGTATTATACCTTGAGATAACGAAACAAAATTATTATCTTTTGTTATAGCTAGCAAACGCGTCTTTGTCTTTTTTTATTGTCATGTATTCTGT